ATAATAATATAATATAAAATAATATAATAAAACAATAATAAAAATAACAAAAATAAAACATATTTAGCTGAGTTGAGGGTCATAGTTTGACTGGAAGTACAGCCAAATCTCTGTAATAATGGCTGTATTAGAATAATAGTGTGGGAAAGCTCTCATTTGACAAATAAGAACCTTTACCCTTGGGATTGAAGGAGAAGTGGCTCTCAAATCACATATACACATTAAAAAAATATCAACAGTATTAAGAAAAATAATTTATAAAGCCCATACTTATCTGTCCTGTCTGCAGGTCATAATCAAAGGCATCCACAGAGTAGGATAGGCTGTCGATGTAATAGAAAATTTTGTGATCTAGGGACCAATCCAAACCATTGGAGATGTCCACCTGGTCAAAGTACTTTTGCACATGGTGGTCAGCAAAGAGGGCGTACAGAGACCCTTGGTGTCGTTCAAGAACTGCTGGAGCTGTTTCCTCAGCCATGGTGCCTACATAAACCAAAGAGTACTGAACTCAGTCCCACAATACATGATACCATTTCTTTTGTCTCTCTGCCAATGTTTAAGAAAAGAGAATTGTTTTAGAATTCCAATCTTGGTCCCATTTTTTAAATCGTAACTAACTTGCAAATAAAATTAAAACTATAATGAGTTTCCAGCTAAGATGAAATAAGCCCAGGTTTACTCTCCCAATAAACACAACTATAGAACCTGGACAAAATGCATGGCACAACAAAGAGGGAAAGGCAGGGGGCAGGGGGCTGAGGATGGGAGAGAGGGAAATCATGGGTTTGAAGAGTTTGACGAGTGGAAGGAAGGATTGAGGGAAAATACATGAATGAAGCATAATAAAAGAAAAAAAATAATCTACTTGGGAAGAGGGCAAAAGAATATATCCAGGGGTTTAGGGAGAACATCACACTTCCGTTTATTAAAACAACATAATGGACCCTTTGATTATGGAGGGGATAAATGAATAGTGCAGGTTTTTGAGAAGCCAAAAAATAATAAGGACTATTAAATTGGTCGTGAGTTTACCACTCTCTCCCCTTAGTATTTCTCGACCTGCATTCAGTGCAGTCTGAAAACTGAAAGTGAGCTGTGTGATGTAGACAGAGACAGGTCCAGGAGAAATTCTCTTGATCTACCTCAAAGATCAGAAGAAAATTTATCCTCAGAGTAGGTAAATCTCCCACATTTTTTCTCCATTCCATTTTCACAAACAACAGTCTGTAGGCAATTCTATGTCAGGAGAAACAATAGAATAGAGAGTAGGAAGCAAAAGAAATCTACAGAAGCCAAAGTTGAAGTTTTAATTAAGCAGAGTCAAACTGCTGCTTTTATATTTTCCCTGTGTCCTATTGCTGGGGAACTATAGCAAACTGGAAAAGACTAAGAGAGAATGAAGAGAGTAGTTCAGGAGTGTGATTCCATAAAGCTATTTATGATCTCCTAAGTTCACCCTGGACTTGCAAAACACTGATGTAAATGAGCTGATCTTTCAAAAGCAGATTGCTAAACTTTTCTTCAAAGGTGCTTACCCATGGACTCATACCTAAGGGGTTTTCAAATGTTGTTTGTGTTGTTCTTTCATTCCCCTCCACCTTGAAACTGTTTCTAATCTCATTATCATCATCAAAAGCCCCCTGTATTCAAAATTCATTTAAACCACAAAAGTGCCATACAAATTAGTCTTTGCTAAAGACTCTATAGTGCCACAATAGCAGTGAGCCCTTTATTAGCCATTCTCCTAAGTTTCCTCCCAAACTCAGTAAAAGATTAATCATACCAGCAAAGTATCTCCCAGCAGGATCCACTTTCCCATCATTGAATCGATTATTTTTCTTGTCTTTATCCACTGTGGCCAGGACAGCTGTGGCCTGATCTTCCCAGTTCAAAGCACAGAATTTTGTTCCAACTGTGGCAACATAGCCTCCAGACTGGCGAAGGGCCACAGAGCTGACAGGGGCATCTACAAAGACAAAGGCACCAGTTAGAACTCTGGTAGCCAACCAGTAACCAAGACCATCACTTGCCTGGTATCTCTTAGAGAAGGAGTCTAGCTCTTTCAGCAATGGGAGTATTGTCTTCCTTCTAGTCAGTAGAGAGAATTATATAAATAAAAGAAAAGGCAATGGAGGCTAGTGTCACAGTTGGGTATTGGTGGTTACGTTGATGGGCTTTTGAAGAGTAATTGCTGACCTTATTCACTGGCTGTGGGTATTATGGCACAATCAATCACCAGGTTAGTGACATGCATCAGATTGACCTTTAAAATGGTCAGTTATCCAGGTTATTTTGGAAAGGTTGATATGAGACATTACCACCTGAAGAGAATCAGAGCTTCTGCCCAACTGTCAACCTGGACAAATAATCAAATTTGGTTAGTGAACAGACAAGGGTAAATGCTGCCAAAAACAATACTGGAGCTACTCCCATCATCAATGTAGTTTGATTGGGCTACTACGAAGTTTTGGGGAAGGAGAAGCTCCCAAAGAACCAGTCACTGTAAACGCCAAATTCTTCAGCAGAAGAGCTGGGGAGAAAATTAAAGGTTTGGGGGGCAGGGCTATGAGGGAGGTTGTGTTCTGGTGGCTTGAGGCTTAATTACATGGAGGTTGGGAAATTAAATGTTTTTCTTACAAAAACCCCAACAAACAACCCCAACCCCACTGCTGCTGTGTTGATTCTGATTCATAGAGACTCTGTAGAACAGAGTAGAACTGCCCGCTAGCTTTCTAGAGTTGTAATTTGTTACAGAAGCAAACCACATCTTTCTCCCAGACCAACTGGTGGATGTGAATCCCTGATTTATCGGTTCGCAGCCAAGCACTTTAATTACCACTCTATCAGAGGTCTTCAAGGGCTACATAACTACATATGTATTTATTAAGCATGGGCTCTGTGTGCTGTTCTGGGTGGCAAGAAAGGTGAATAAAACCCAACTCTGGAAGCTCTCAGCCAGTGGAAGAGGTCGAGAGTGCTACAATATATCCACAATACAATACAATAAGTCAGGAGTCCTTACAGAGGAATGAATTAAGTTCAGAGGAGAGATTACTAACCTAGAGACAGCCAGAGCAACTTGGAGATGCTCAATTTGTCTGACAGGGAATGGCAAAGGAAACGCTGACCCAAAGATCAATCAGAATTGTTTTAACAGACTCTGGAAATATAACAACAAAAACAAACTTTCAAGGAATGTGGCAAAAGAGCAGACTTTCAAGGAAAAGACAAAGGAGATGGCCAGAAATCACCATACATCTACTAGAAGGAATGCACCATCGCAGTGTAAACCCCACCCCCTGTTGGCAAAAAGATATATAAACCCTTTTGTAAGATAAAGATGGATGTCAGTCTGTCCTGACCCGTTCGTAGTCTGTTATGAACATCTAATAAACCTCAGTTTCTTTCACTTGCTCTCACCTGGTATAGGTGTCTTTATTTTATAGCCGAGTCAGAACTTTCTAGTTCTTACTCAAAGAGGCTACTGGACCTCTTTTAAAAATCATCTCCTTATAATAACCCCAAGGGAATTCAGACACTGTGTTTGAGAACAACTCATTTTTGTGAATGCCTTTTTCCCACCTCCAACACAAAACCAAACCAAACATAAAACCTATTTCCCTCCAGTTGATTCTGACTATGGTAAAAGCAGTCAGTCATAGAAATGGAGAACTTAATTTCTCTTTATGGCTAAGTAATATCAGTCCATTGAATTTTACTCAGGCACAAAGAGAAATGAAGTTCTGATGGCATGCTGCATCAAGAACTTGAAAACATTACATCAATAGCTAAAGGACATATACTTATTTCACTTAAATGAAATAAGCAAATATATATTATTGCTATGTGCTGTTGAGTCATAACCGACTCATAGCCGACCTTCCAGTGGTTTTTCAGAGATAACAAATCACATGGAAGGAGGTTGCCCGTCCTTTTCATGCGGAGCAGCTGGTAGATTCATACCACGTGTTTTGGGGATTGCAGCACAGCTTCTTACATAATAAAAAAATATTGGACTTCTTTTGCTGTGCCACTGGTTCTACAATTTTCAGTATTGTTATATGAACTTATTAAGCCTTGTCATTAAAAAACAGTTGAGAATGCTGCCCCTTTTCCATAAAGGAACAAGAAAGTAATGATCATCCATTATTTACACCTGGAGTAAACAGGAGGGAATGGAATAAAAAAGACTGCCTTATTATTTTTTTAAAAGTTAAAGCATTTTCAGCACACTTTGACAAGAAAACCCAGGGAGGAATCTTACCTGTGGTAAATTGCTGCACTTGTTTTGTAAGCGAATCCCATCGGCAAACCATTTTTGCAGGAATATCTACAAAGAGTAGAGAGTTGCTTGCTTCTTCCCACACTGGAGACTCACCACAACGACAATTCTTTGGCAAAACACACTCAATCTTAATGGATGACATTGTCAGAGTAGAAATCTACCGAAGGTAACAAAGATTAAATTAAAATGTAAATTAAGTAAAACACCTGGTACAACACACCATTAAGATCCTACTACAGACTATTATTAGAACTAGAAAGGCTGCTTTCCAAATCAGAACTCGGTAAACTATGCAATGTGCCAAAAAGAGACAGGTATGAAAAAGAAATTGAAAGTAAAGAAAAAGGAAAAAAAGCTGAAGAAGATATCATGAGACATCTTCAGGCGATTTGCCAGGGATTTTTAAAAGCTAAGAGGCAGAGGAGCACCACTTCAACATTTACATTTTGGTGTGGCTGACCCTCGTAGAATGGTTCAGAAAATGTAAAGCTGTCCTTTAAGCCTGCACTGTAGCCCCCAAGTCTGGGGCAGTCAACTCCCTCATTGGTGGCTGCTGTGGGCGTCTACAGATCACCTGCTCCTGTCACTTTGCCCAACTGTTGATATTGCCTGCTCTGACTGCGAGGGCCTTTTAAATCCAGAACTGCATTTTTAAAATATATATTCACAGTGATGACACACCTGTATTAGAACTAACATCCATTTTAAAATTCACACAATGTAAAAAGTTGGAGATGGGTCACGATATAGGCTCTGTTGCAGAAACTGACAATTCATAGGACTTTTCCTCCTTCTTTCACTGTCTAGGAAAGCACCGTGCTAAGGACATTCTATGCTGGGACTTAAGAGACTGTGACCAGTGAACTAGTGTTGGGGAGTTGTGGAGACTATCATAAACAACAGCAGCAAACATTACCCAAAAGACTCGTGTGGGAGAGGAAAAGGAGAACCAGAAATTTTTCAATTACTACTTCCTTAATTGCCCTAAGTTGGTTGTTACTGTATTAGGTGCCTTTGAGTGGACTCACAGTGAACAAACAGATTGAAAACTTGAGGGATTAGGTTAAAGTTAAAAATTGCTTACATTTCCATTCTTTTTGTAGAGCGGCTGTTGACTTTTCAGTAATTGATCCCACACATGCATAGGCAAATGAATGATGGGAGCGGTGGGGAAGAAAAGAATACTTGGTTTCATATTTTCCTTTAAAAAAAAAAAACAACAAGCATGCACACAGCTCAAATCTAGTTTAAATACTGACTGTAAATGGAGATCTGAGAGTGTAGTTTCCTTAAGTGTCTCACATGGGGAAGAGAAAAGAATTGAGTTAATGTTAGATATCCTAAAAGTTTGAAACTTTTGAGTTTAGGTTTACCTATAGATTTATCTATTTCCTGCTTATCTCAAACTTTCTTCTTCCAGTAGGTATTAGTTCTTGGCCATTCTTCCTTAGAATTCCAGAATGATTGTTATTTAAATAGGTCTCTCAGAAAATACTCAGTGACAGTGGGAGTGGTTATCCCAGCCTTTGGAATGTTTCATTGGCTGTTAAAAATTGGCTCAGGCATCAAGGCCTTCTAACTATCTTAGATAAGACACAGTATCAGTCACCTGGGTTTTGCAATAGCGAATTTTAACCCCAGCTCTGTGCTGTAAGCCACGGCCCGGTGTTGGAGTGGCTGGCAAATACCCCATTCTGGGCCAGTCTCCAGACAGCTGTAGCCAAAAGGAGGCAGAGAATTGGGCATCAGATGGCCCTGTTACAACTAGGGTACCTTTGCTCAATCCAGTATAGCCACTGCAGATCCAGTCGAAGGTGGAGCTCTCCTCCTGGCCAGTGCGGAAAGCATGACCCTGTGTGGGTAGAGATCATTCTATCTCCTTCCAGCTGCCTCTAATCAGGAAACTGGACAGAGCAGGTCTTGCTTCTCTGTTGTCATGGCTTTTCCTTTCCAGGAACGAGGCAGGGAGGGCGGCCAGACCAAGGCACTCCATGAGCTGAGGCTTTTATTTATCTAAGGCAGCTTCCAGAGGGAGAACAAAGTGGCTCAGTTACTGACAAAAAGGCCACAATACACCCCTACCCTCCCATCGCCCCAGTAGCACTGCTTATTTTTCTCTTCTTAGCTGGAAGAATCCTGGCAAGCCACCCAGAGACAGAAGTTCACTGAACTTGAATTTTGGAGTTTGGACGGATATCTCATTTATTTCCTACCTTAAAAAAAAGTTGTTAAAATGCATAACAGATGACAAGGGTCTAATTGAACACTCTTTAATCTGGAAGACTCTGATGACTGGAAGCCAAACACTTGCAAAATATTTTTGGTGGAGGAGGAGGAAGGGCTTTATTTTATTTTAAAATCATGTAGAGAAAATTATTCAAGCAGCACTCAGCTTCATATTCTGTACTTTAAATCTCTTAAAAATGCAGATATA